CTCTTGTTGTCTCACCCACCATAAGGGTAAGCTCACGAGCCGCTAACAAAAAGTCTAATTATAACAGTTCTCGCAAATAGTGATATTGAAATTAAAACTGCTAACAAAAAAAAAAGAAAAAAAAAAAGAAAAGAAAAAAGGAAAAGAAAAAACGACTCGTGCACCAACCAGGACCTTTGTCTTTGCCTTGATCTTCATCCTGTTAAACAAGAACAACAACAAAAAAATATGTGTGATAATTCTCCGCGAAACAATTCCTTACTACAGATGTTGCCCTTGTAAAAAACGCGATAAATTACACAGATATAAAGATATTGTGCATGTTTACCTGAGCGTGTTTATCGAGAGGGAACGACGCCACTAAGGCCCAATTTATCATGAAGAAAACACAGCACTTCATATTCCTTGAAAAAAAAAACAACAACAACAAATGAAATATTCAGGTTAAATAAAGTTGTCTAAAGCGGAGTTATTTTAAAGCGACACGAGACTGATTTGCAAGCTCATTGTGACACCAGAGGCTGGTTTTCACTAGCGACGGGGTTGGAGTCATAGTCGTAGTTGGAGTAATAGGTTAAGAGCGCTTACGACCTAATGAAAGTCGCCTATTTTCCAGTGAAAACTATAGACTGTCGGGAGTCGGAAGCAGAAGCGGAAGAACCAATCATTCACAAGCTCAAGAATCGAACACTGGGATTGGTTTATTCTTTTGCTTCCAGGACAGACGACGCAAGAAATTAATGGAAAACAAAAATCAGAGCTACAAGCAAATTTACACATCTCTCATCTTTACTCCACCAATTTTTGTCTACCACTTTCGACTTCATACTTTTTTCAGAACTGCCAATTAATTGAAAATTGACTTAAATATCATAATAGAAGAAGGTAATAATTCCCCATCAATGTGTCCGAGTTAACTCTCGACGAAAAAAGCGTTCCTATAATCATCGCTTCCGCGTCCTTATCCGTGTAACGATTCATCTATTTAACAATATGTTCTTTGGTGATTCCTGTGAACAAATGTTTCCACATTAACATCACATAACTGACTTGAAAAGAGAGCCATTTTTTTTTAATTCTGTTGTTTTTTTTTTTTTTCAAAGTCCAACAAACAGTTTTCTAAAATCTTGGCTGCATTACCACGATGAGAAGTTTTCAGCCTATCTTTTACCTCACTTCCGACACCGAAACGAATTCGCGCAACACGTGTATACCATGAGAATGTGGAAAAACTGTAAGCGAAACAAAGCATCAAATTGCACATCCTTCATTGAAATACGGTAATGAGTTTTCACAACTGCATGTACGTGAACACTGAAAGAAGATCTCTAATCTGCCATAGGGATTTGGCCGGACTCGCCTGGAAAATTTGGTGGTATAAAATCCTCGCCTTTCATTGGTCAATTGCAAGAGCTTTATCAAAAACAGAAAATCCAAGAGTGAAAAGCTATTCACAAGTTTTCAACAAGGGTTTTGGATGTTGTGTTTCTTAGTAAATGGTTTCACTCCCATTTAGTCAGGTGGGACATTTTAAGCCCGGCCGCCTCATTATTGTTCAATGAAACAAAAAGCCGCGTCTTTAAAACGGAAAATATTTCTTCCAGTCTACTAACGTTGTTAACGATGTAAAATCAACAACAACAACAACGGCAAAAAAAACTTACTGCGCTAGAGTCTTCTCTTTTGATATTGTCCTCTGAGACCAACCTTCTTCCAAGATCAGCAAAACCTTCCTAACAGGCTAGCTCTCTGTGTAGAACTGAATTGAATGCTACCTTTGACTTCGCCTCCTTTTAAGAAGTTCTGAACATTGAACCAATACATCTGAAACTGACAGCCGTAAATTGGAAAACATTTTCATTGAAGTTCAGTTGACAAATGCCAGGAGTTGCTTGCACCTGTAAAGCTTGGGAACAGCGCATGCCCAATAACATTTGCCTAGGGTAGCCTTCTAAATATTCACTTAATGAAAAATTTTGTCGAGCGAGAAAAACTCTAAAAATCCCTCTAAGAATAGAAATTTTGAGAGCCTTAAGGTGAATCAAAACTAATTTCCTAACCAAAAAGTGTTCTTGCATTCCCAGACCCAAGTTTAAGGCTTATGTTATGGACAAAAATTACGACCGACACACCACGCTTTTAAACAAAAGAGGACAAAAAGCTACCCAGTGGGTCAGATTTGTCAAGTGTTACTAAGGGAGTCGCCATTTCGGTTCAGTAATTCTCTTATTGAAAAACCACCCTTAATTTTTGCCCATTGTTTTGTGGTATTAGCCAGGTTCCATCTAATAATAGATTGATTGACAGAAATACACGGAAAACTGGCATGACCGAATTGGCCTTCGAAAAATATCACTTCCCGTACAATGGTGACAATAAGTCCCGTTTCCAATCTCTGAACGACGTATCTTCCACCAAGGAATTTAATTATTTTTGTTTGCTAAATCTGACGATAAAAAGACATAAACTTGAGTTGTAAGGCTTGTGTGTTCGTCCAATGCTTAATAACTAAATCTTCCCACGATAAGGTATCACTGTTGGTTACCTAAAATAACTACTTTCCATACTAGAATGTTTGGTTCTTGAGAGTAAAGTTAACTGGCATAAAGTTGTCCTCTTGAAACAACTACTTTCTGGTGCCATGGCAACAAAAGGTTTTTTTTTTTTAAATGTATTTGGGGATAAGAACACTTTTTCTACCAAAGAATCTAATTATTTTTCTTTACAGTTTCTGAAGGACGAAAGTTCTCACAATTGAGCCGTGTATGCACACGCTCTTCTGTTGTTTAGTCATAACTCATAACTTGTCACGTGTAAGTAACGATAAGATATCACTATTGGTTACCTTAAATAGCCTTTCTCCAGCTAAGAATGCATCGGTCACTGAGAGGAAACTATGAATAACTAAAACACATTTTGCCTTTTGAAACACATTAGGGCTCTGTAATGGAGACAATAACTGTTTGAAATCACCATTTCGGGAGTAACAACATATCGTTTACCGAAGAATTTAATTATCCTTATTTAACGAAGTTGGAAAGGCATTCACAATTAAGCTGTGACTGCATACGCTCTTCCGTTGTCTATTTATTATCGCCAATGTGTAAGTAACGATACGGAATCGACACTACTGGTCACCTGAAATAAGTCCCTTTAGCTAAAAAAAAAATGGATCGGTTCTTGGAGATACAAATGAAACTGGCAAGAAACTGGCATTTGGGCATATATATTTTTCCTGCGCAATGATGAAAAGAACCCGTTTAAAATAGCCATTTCAAGGGTAATAACATGACGTGCCCCAAGGAATTTAATCATTTCTTCTTTGAAGAAGTTGGAAAGGCATACAGTTGAGATGTTACTAATTTTGTAACTGCTAAACATGAAATTGACAGCTGTGTAGTTACAAGTATTATTGAAGCTGTCAACTGTCAACTCAAAAATGTAGAAAACACTCGCCTGCGGCTCATTTCACTCGTGCTCTCAAATGGCTGTCGTGTTTTGTCACAGTGTAATACGCGGCTTAGATTTAGTTAGCAAAAACTAAGCAGTTTCCCTTTTCGAAAAGGGAAACTGCTTAAATAGTTGTCGACAGCTACGCTTTTTCCGTGTCTTGAAATCATTGCTTTAATTGTCGACAACTGTCGAAACATGACACACATTTAAGCTTGCGCACAATTTTTTGAGCATGCGTAGTGAAAGTTAGTTCCCAAGCTCTTGCTGGCCTGACTTAGTTTTCTACTACTAACACTGTGATATATAAAATGCTCGCATTGGACACAATGAGTTGTAGATAACATTTAGTTGTAGATAACAAATAGTTGTCGACAACTAAATGTGTAGACCATGGAGGCCCCTATATTAGCAATGCAAGTTTTACCAGTTGTGGCCCGAGGAATAATTAAATACCTTGGCACACGATGATACATCACTATTTTTCATTTAGGCTGTTGTTACCATTTCCCAAGAGATCATTGATTTCAATGGTCAATTTTTTACTATGTGTAATGTATTTTACGGAACCAATCTGTTGATTGTTGGACACTGGTCATTTCACGTACCCAACAGTGATATCCAAGCGTTACTTACATAAGCAAAGAAACAATATAATTACTATATCTAGAGAGGAAGCTACATCAGCCTTGGCTGGTTTTCATGTGCGTCTTCTATTCTGCTTAAATTGGAATTTGGAAATTTGAGAAACTCAGCCCACGTATGGCACCGAGCCGAAATCGAAACCAGGCCACAATGGTGGGAGGTGTGCGTTCTGACTACTGCGCCATCTCACCTACCCAAACTATTATATGGTAGCACTGAGGAGTATACAAGTATACGAGTATGATTACGGAGCACAAAGTCCAGTTACCGTTAATAGCAACCATAATAAAATTCGAAAAAAGTCAGAGAGAAAAATGTGAGCAACTTAATTGTTATATCAAGCACTAACTTCACTCAGGCAAACCATTTTCTTAAATATTTTGGACGTCACTGGGGTGAACAGAATGTTCCCTAAGATCCGATCAAACATTTCGAACGCATTGTTGTTTTACCATGGGTACATGAATGTCTTGCAGCCCACAAGAAAGAAATGTAATCTATTTTTCAAGACAGATCGTCTAGATTGCTTTTACAGACACTCAAACTTGGTATCATAAAGAAACATTTTTACTTTCTCTAGCTCGACGAAAATTTTTTTTAATAATATAGGAGCCCTCTAGAGGACATATAATAGGAGCAAATGGCAGCAACAGATATCTTGACAGTTCTGGCGCAGGAAATACTTGTCCAATACACAGCTTTCAATTCCATTTTTAACAGTTGTTCATGTTCAACAGCTAAATTCTATGGCTTTCCAACTTCTTCAAATAAGAAATAATTAAATTCCTCGGGGGAAAAACATGTTGTTACCCTCGAAATGGCTACTTATAATCATTGCTCAGCAAAAAAAACAAAAACAAAAAAAATGCGCCCAATGGCCAGTTTCTTGCCAGTTTCATTTGTATGATACATCACTATTTTTTGGTGATTTCAAACAGCTATTGTCTCCATTACAGAGCCCTAATGTGTTTCAAAAGGCAAAGTTTGTTTCAGTTAGAGTTTCGTCTCAGTGACCGATCCATTCTTAGTTGGAAAGAGGTTATTTCAGGTAACCAATAGTGATATCTTATCGTTACTTATACGTGACAAGTAATGACTAAACAACAGAAGAGCGTGTGCATACATAGCTCAACTGTGAGAACTTTTGTCCTTTAGAAACTGCAAATAATAATAATTAGGTTCTTTGGTAGAAAAAGTGTTCTTTTCCCCAAATACATTATTAAAGAAAGAAAAAACCCTTTTGTTGCCATGGCACCAGAAGGTAGTCGTTTCATGAGGACAACTTTATGCCAGTTTACTTTACTCTCGAGAGCCAAACATTCTAGTATGGAAAGTAGTTACTTTAGGCAACCAATAGTGATACCTTATCGTGGGAAGATTTAGTTATTAAGCATTGAACGAACACACAAGCCTTACAACTCAAGTTCATGTCTTTTTAACGTCAGATTTAGCAAACAAAAATAATTAAATTCCTTGGTGGAAGATACGTCGCTCAGAGACTGCAAACGGGACTTATTGTCACCATTGTACGGAGAGTGATGTTTTTTAAAGGCCAATTAGTTCATGACATTTTTCCATCTATGTCTGTCAATCAACCTATTATTACATGAAAACTGGCTAATACCACAAAACAATGGACAGCAATTAAGGGCAATTTCAATAACATTTGTGTCGCAGGTTGAATTAAGAAAATTACTGAACCGAAAGGGTAACTCCCTTAGTAACACTTGACAAATCTGACTCAATGCTTAGCTCTTTGTCCTCTTTTGTTTAAACGCGTGGTCTGTAGGTCGTAATTTTTGTGCTTAAAATTAGCCTTAAACTTGGGTTTGGGAGTGCAAGAATGTGTGTTGGTTAGGGAATTAGTTCTGATTCACCTGAATGCTCTCGACATTTATATTCTTAGAAGGAATTTAGAGTTTTCTTCGCTCGGCGAAATTTTTCATTAAGTAAATATTTAGAAGGCTGCCCTAGGCAAATGTTGTTGGGCATAGGCTGTTACCAAGCTTCACAGGTGCAAGTAAGTTCTGGCAATACTGTCAACTGAACTTCAATGAAAATATTTTTCAATTGACAGCTGTCAATTTTAGATGTATTTGTTTAATGTTCAGAACTTCTTAAAAGGAGGGAAAGTCACAGGTAACATTCAACTCAGTTCTCCACAGAGAGCTAGCTTGTTAGGAAAGTTTTGCTGATCTCGGAAGAAGATTGATCTCAGAGGACAATATCGGAAGAGGATACTCTAACGCAGTAAGTTATTTATTTATCTATTTATTTTATTTATTTTATTTTTTTTGTAGATTTTACATCTTTAACAACCTTAGTAAACTGGAAGAAATATTTTCCGTTTTAAAAAACGGGGCGTTTTAATTCGTAGAATAATAAGGCTGCCAGGATTAAAATATCTCAGATAGCTAGGTGGGAATGAAGCCATTTGCTAAGAAACTCAATATCTATATCCCTTGTTGAAAACGTTTGAATAGTTGTTCACCCCTTTATTTTTTGTTATTGATAAAGCTCTTGCAGTTGACAAATGAAATGCAACGATTTTATACGACCTTATTTTCGAGGCGAGTCCGTTCAAATCCCTATAGCGGATTAGAGATCTTCTTTCAGTGTTCACGTACATGCGGTTGTGGAAACTCATTACCGTAGTTCAATGAAGGATGTGCAGTTTGATGCTTTGTTTCCATCACAGTTTTTCCACATTCTCATGATACACAATCGTCTCGTGAATTCGTTTCGGTATCGGAACTGTGATAGATCACGGGGATAATGCAGCCAAGATTTTAGAAAACTGTTTGTTGGACTTTCCAAAAAAAAAAAAAAGAATATCTATATGAAAAATGGCTCTCTTTTCAAGTTAGTTACATGATGTTAATATGGAAACCTTTGGCCTCAGGAATCAGCAAAGCATATTTTACTAAATAGTTATATCGTTACATGGATGAGAGCGCGGAAGGGATGAGTATAAGAAGGCTTGGTTTTTGTCCAGAGTGAACCCGCGGACGTTGATGGGGGTCGTAAGGTGGGATGATACTTTTGCTTTCGTTTCCCATTGTCTGTTCATTTAACTCTCTCAGAAACTTTGATGTGTTGATCGCTTTGGGGCTTCGTTTGAGAGTGCCATTGTTTTTTTTCTTTTTTTTTTTTTG